CGTACTGCAGAATTCTGACACGAATTCTTCGTTTGGCTCCTTTGGCCTCCGCCCCAGAGCTGCATGAAACAGTTTGCGGCGTAGAGGTCTCCCCACCAGACCGAGGTCCACTTAAGTCAACCACAGGACATGTGGCGACTTCATGTCTCGTTTGGGCTCAAGGTCTCGAGCGAGACCTTGCAAGGTCTAAGAAAACCACATGGAGTATCCATGAAGTATCAATGGAGATGACAGGCGTATCTAGCAACATTCAGCAAGATTATTTATGTCAAAAAACTGTGACCGACGTGGTTGAAGAGGTTTCTGCTTCTGGATCGTCCAGGTTTGGAGGTTGATTAGCTGACAGAGGATTGAGGTATTACGTTCGGTGTCCACCACTTTCGGGACCCCGCTGGTCGAGCGCATTCGATGCCAAAGAGATTCCAAGATGACAGACATCTCAAAGAAAGTATTACAAACCAGAGCGTTTCACACGCAGACAAAAGGTGAAGCTACACCAGAGCGTTTTGACCAGAGATTGCATGACCCTTTAGCTCGATCATCGAAGAGATGCACTGCGGCAAGGCAAGTGTTGACATCTTGACATGCACAGAGAGTGTCAAAGAGTTGACTCGTTTCGGATGGGCGTTTGGATGCAAGACCAGGGTGACAGGTGACACCACCATGTTCCCCAAAATGGACGGGAAAGACCAGACCTTTCTGTTCAAGTTTGGAGGTGAAGTGAGTCTACAAAGATCCACCAAGCCAACAGTGGGTGAACATGATACAAAACCATAAGGTGAACATTGGCCATCGGCTAGTCGGGGTGGCCCCACACCACCGCCAGCTGGCGTAGCAGGCCTACACCAGCGGCCCGTTCATCGAATGCTGAAGGTCTTTGACCAGGCAGTGGATGTAACTCGAAGAGAGCATCACTATCACCGCCCTAGGGATCCAAGTACCTTCTCAGAAGGTACTTGGACCCTCCAAACCTACATAACAGTACCTCCAATCACCTTCTGAGAAGGCACTTGGATCACTATCACTGCACTGTAACAGCTGAACATGTTGCACTGCGAGCTATCGTGATGTTCATGATATTTCATGTGCGTGTGCTGCCCGTGCCGGATGAGACACTGTGCGACGTCGGTCGATGTGTGAGCGCAGGAGATGTGCAGGTTGGTCGATCTGTATGGTCTCTAGACATGCTGTCCCGGCAAAACTCGACTCGACCCACCAAAAAACCGATGGTTTTTGGGGGCAACGCATGGCAGCACACGTCATATTCTTTGTCCACGAACTGATGGCCACTGGCTGAACGACCACTGGACAGCTGTGTTACAGGTCTTCACACAGCCACAGCCACCCAGCTGCCGAGTTGATCGGCCTCACCTGTTTCCGTCCTGGCAACCACTAAGCGTCCGACTTTCTCTGGGCGGGGGGAAGGAATTGGTCGCGGCATCGGTCTCCCGGTCTCCTCGTCATCCGCAGGTGCTGATACTCTTCCTGCTCCTCTTCCTCGCGAGGTGCCGACGGGTTGCCACGGGGTTTTCAGCGCGGAGAAGCAGCGACCGACAAGGGTGTTTCCACACGCAGGTCCGAGAAGTGGCAGTGGGTGGTTCGTTGAGCAAAAGGATGGATTTGAAAGTGTCCCAGGTTTACCCTTTAGAGCCGTCGGTCAAACAAGAACATTCCCATGTATCAGAGAGTTCGGCCTGCAAACCCAAATGTTCATAGATCCGCCGTTACAGCCAACAGAGGTTGTCAGAACCCTAGTTCGACTATCCCAGTGCGGCACCGGTGTTGGGGGTTCCTATTCATGGTCGCTTCACCTTTTTGGGAGCGAATGGGATGACATACCCGTGCAAGGCCCAAGGCTTGGTGTTGGCAAGAAGCCGACCTCTGCGGGGGTCGACCTCCGGCAGTTGGTGACCTTTGGTGACCCTGGTCGTCAGAGAACCGTCCGCCAGCGTGCTTGGCCGGCCCTGTGACGCGGCCCACGTTTCCATTCGCCCAAAGAAAAGTAGCACCACCACCACTTGAAGACGAAGCACCACCGAGCTAGGGGATTTGGGGAGACGAAGCACTGGAAGAAAGTGGCGGCCTCTCGAACTTGATGGTCTTCGGCTCTCGTAGCGGAGCGGAGTTCCTGCACCGTGCGACTCCTTTCGACGATTCGTTTCGACCGTTGAAACGACCAGACGAGACAAGCGAACCGGATCAGAGCGGAGTTCCTGTGGAGTTCTTTCCGTCTGGGAGTCGGCAGAAAAACACGCATGTGCTGAACTGGCGAAAGCCACAAGCACGTGTAACATTCCCTATAGGGATCCAAGTACCTTCTCAGAAGGCGATTGGAGACTATTTATGTAGGCTTGGAGGGCCCAAGTACCTCCTGAGAAGGTGGCAGTGGATCCCTAGTCCGGGATTGAATGACACGTCAATGAACCTGTTAAGACAATGACGTGGCCACCAAAAGACGATCATAAAAGTTGCCCCGTCTTCGGACCCGGACCGTTGGTCACCAATCCATCCTGTTGTTCTCCTTGCTTCGGTGTCACTCAAGCACCAGCTGAGACACCAGGAGTACAGCCGAGCTGGTGCCCAGGAGTGTGTGCAGCGCATGCAATTCTGTCTTGCATGGCGTTGGTGGGCGGGGGGGATGAAGACTGAACAGAGTCGAGGTCCTACTTACCCACGACAAGCACCTTGGAAAAGAACATCGGGTCTGACAAAAGCTTTTAATGATGGGAGGTTGCATCATCACATCGATCTGCAACCCAGTGATAGTCAGTTGCCAATATGGCTATAGAGCCTCTGACGGGGCATCGAAACGAGGACAGTCACCACATAACATTTTGTATCGCGACTCACTCTCCTACTTGCCATGTATTTTCTAGCACAGTTTATGCGGGCCATTTGCATTCCATCGCTGAGTTTCTGATACTCTGCAGCAATGGATCCTTGCTGGTTGTTGGTAGGTTTGGGAGATTTGGATTGGTCTATCCCCCAACCCCGGCTTGCTCGACACACTACACTAAGAGCCTTCCGACATACCAACAGCGCCCATTCGCTTTCAGAAAGTAAAAAAGAGCTGACAGGCAATTCTTTTGGTATTCGATATATTTCGAGTGCCCTCAAACTCCAGTTGTTCAGTTCAACCAGTTTGGATACCCGATGAGTGAACATCCCACAGGCGACGATCAATCGCTTGTCCTTGATGATTCTCGTGGTGCGTATTGATGGTCTCGTCAATCATGATCAGATGGCTAATATGGGAAAACATGGAAGAAAGGCAGGCGACTACGTCAACATGTGGTGATCCACAACATGTTTTGGTTGATCCACGTTTCAAGCACCACCCTGGAGATCTGGAGAAGGGAGAAAAATACTGACCACGAAGGGGCCCGGCGGATCGGCGAGTGTGATCCGGCACCAGATGATGTGATGGGGTGATGCCTTTAGTTGTGATGGTTTCTTTTGCTACTAGTAACAATGTTCGCTACCATCGGGGCTCCTGGCATCGCTACGAACGGAGCGAAGGGCATCGCTACGAACGGGCCTTACAACTAGGAGCAAGAAGCTACTAGGAGCAAAGATCATCCTTATCCTTTCGCACCTTTCATGGGAAAAGCAAAAATAAGGCTTTGAGGCACAAGTTCTTCGATAGAAAAGTCTTACACGCGTGAGCCGTAAGCATTCAACAAGTGTGTACCGGCAGGGTGACATGTCTCATCTTCCATTGAACTTGAATGGTGAACTTGGTGGCGAAAGCTCTCAGTTTTTCAGCTGGAACCCCTCAGAAAGCAAACACATCTCGAACCACCAAATCAAGAGTGAGAAATGAGCGTGGATTCTCCCCTGAATGTGTTCGATTCCCCAAACAGTTTACTGTTGGGGTTCTCTCTTAAAGGTCAAGCAACACTGCCAGTGGCCGCGTGCCTGAACCCTGTGTCCGGGTGTGGTCCTGCTGGTGTCCTCCTGCTGTCCTCTGGCCGCGCTTGCTGTGACCTCCGCCTTGTCCGCATCTTGTCCTGGTCTGTGTGTATCCATGCCTAGCTGCACCGTGGCCTTCTCCAGACCTGATCCAGCTGTGTCGGGGTTTGTGTCCGCCTTCCGCCTTGTCCGGACCGGCTGGTCCCCTCCTTCATTGGAAGTCAATTAATTTTAAACAAAAGGATCATCATTTTTTAGGTATAGTATATTATATTTGGTTATATTATAAGTTATTAGTTATATCATTAGATCCTCCTGATACTACGTACTTGGGTTCTATGCTGATATGATGTCTTTGCCACCACCCACATATGTCGAGTTTCGGGCGATCTCCTGGCCACCAGGACATGGTCGAGTCAGCCCCTTGAGGCGCAAGGGAATGACGAACAACTTGCAGGACACGGCCTTGAACATCTGAGCAACGTGTTTGTTTTTTTCACATGAAAGGGTTTATCAAAGGGTTTATCAGAACACTGCTCATCTGGAAGGCTTCGTTCGTTCGAGGGAGTGTTGTTGTGGCATGTCGACCAAAGGTTCCACCCTGTCGGACTCATGGAACGTCCGGAAGATGGGGAGAAAGTCCATTGGAGCATCCAAATTCCTTTCCAAATGCCTATGCAAATTTCAGTCTTGCAGCGGACCAATGTGATCAATTTGTCAAAGCAAACTCCAAAAAAGCCCAGGCGGGGGGCTGTTGGATTACCAGAAGATCGAATAAACCCTATGCATTTGAAGGACCCCGTGCACTCCTCTTTTGGGGGGACGTTCGGCATGGATGTGGATTTCTTCTGGAGTGAACCCCCCCCATCAGTAGAAGAACTTGTGACTGCTTGGATGCGACAGACCTGTTTCTGGAGCCTGGCTCACGGTGTCTTCGTTCCTTCTTTGGCTCCGGCCGGTCGTCCTGGAAGAGACCGCCCGGACGAACGGACCGAGGACAGGGCACGGGACGCACTCCCGAGTTTCTCGGAGTGGGAAGTGTTTTTCAGGTCTGCAGAATTCTGAAAAGCTACGAAGTTTGAAATGTCCTCAACCAGACATACGTTTCGCACCGGCAACTATTGTTGCGATCTGTGGCTCAGTGACGTTGGATCGGGAACAAAGGCAGGTGCTTGTAAGAGTGACTGGTTGGCAGAGCTGTGACCTGCACGAGGTGCATTGGTTGCACTGTCACCCAGTAGGCGCGGTGGAGCCGGAGCGGGGCTTTCGTAGCCCCGGCTGCCCAAGCGGCTGTCATGGACCGGCTGCGCCCACCGGCCATCTACGAATGCACCTGAGTGGCCCTCCAGCCTTTGTAATCCTGGCGCGAACCACGCCTCCAGTCCCAGCCTGCAGGCGCAGGTGCGCTATCCAGCCCGTCGACTAGCTGGAGCTGCGCAGTCCTCAGGTGGTGTGTGAGGCTGTGGCCTGAAAAGCCGTTCTGGTGAGTCAACAAGGTGAACAGGGAGCAGCCCCTCTGACCCTTTGCACAGCTGAACACACTTCATCCGGTTTTTTGAAAGCCTAGAGCAGTGCCAGGGCTGTGGAGCGTTTGTTTGTTTTGGTTGGCTTGTTTGAAAGCTTGCTCCAACTTAATTACTCCAGGAAAGGTCACATCATGCATGTTGGGATGGAGAGGCCGAATCGGGCTGATTCAGCATTGCTTTGTGCTGAGTTGGGTTGCGGCAAAGCAGTTAAGAACTCCCACTGTGCAAGACCAGGTGTTCCAGTGCGTTGATCCATCCGCATAGATCATAACATGCAACCGATCACAGCCCTGTTATGGCCCTCTTCGTTGTGCGCAGTCTCAAGGATTGGGGGAATCACCCACCGAATTGGCCCCTAACACAGAAGCCACCTGAGGTGGGCGAAACGATTGGCCAGGCGCGTTTTGGGACGTTCGGCGATAAGCCGGGTCCGGGTCTAGAAGCGTGCCTGTCGCTTCTAGAGTCTAGGCATGCTGTTGGTCGGAGCGGGTGATCCAGGATTCGGTTCACGTAACCATGTAACAGTCTTAAAAGGCTAGAGATCATGGTTTTCGATTGATGGCCACCAACCGAAACCTGTGGGGTCCTGAAGTCACCTGGTTCCCTGGTGTTGGTTTTTCCATGTGTTTCCAACGTCTCAAAAACAAGATATGAATTCCCAAAGCAAGGTCTCATGCAAAACCTCACATTGGAAAGTAACCCTTGCCGCCACCTGACATAGAACAATATACCTCACCTTCCCAAACCTTCACTGTTCTGAGGCCAAATGCGCACCCCGCCCGCCCTCCTGTTCTTCCAGGCTCCGCCCGAGGCGCCGCCAGTGCAGCGCGACGCCGCGACGGCGGTGCGGCGCGACGCGCTGACGATCTCCTGGGAGATTCCGACGGCGACGCCGCCGGTGGAGTACATGGAACTACAGCACGATGAAGGAGACGACGGAAGGGAAGGGGGGGAAAAGGGCATCGAGATGGGAAGGGCTGGGGATTGGGATGGATGGAATGATTGAAAATTCGGACATTGGAGATGACAAGCACTTGCACGAGTTGGCCAGTGAGGTTGAAAGAGGGGGGTTGAGGGTTGAGATCACACCAGTGAGTGGAAACTGGACAAGCTATACAACAAAAAACTGTATAAATGTGACTCAATGTGTCACGCTGAGGACTTCCGTGCTTTTGTCCAAGTCTTTGGAGCTCCAATCCATGATCCATGTCCAACCTCCAGAAGGTCATCACGAAAGCCGGTGACAGGTGAAAAGCTCGGTGTAAAGCCGAGACGTCGGGCGACGTTGGGCGGAGGATTTGGTGGCAACTTCACGGTCACGCTGGCCATCAGGTGCGGCGGCCATCGGCCAGCGAGTGCGGTTTCAGACGTTTCAGGAGGTGCGAGGCCCGGCAGTTCTTCACACTGGTCTAAGATAGGAGATGGTAGATGAGGAAAGATTGTTCTTGGACCAGTGTGAAGAACTACCAGCACCCTCACTGCCAGGTCATTAGTTTTTTGGGTTGTTGGGCCCTTGCCCAGGTCGAACCATTGGTGACCTGTAGAGTCAAGAGCGGTCGTGAATAGCAAAAGGCCCCTCTCCAAGGCGACCACACCATGCCACCGCAGTTTTGAGGGGTGAGTTTTAAATAGGGAACGGCCCCCTTATATAGCCCAATGGGTCTTGATCTATTCCCTTCTTCCCCCTTGTAAGGTCTCCCCTTGTCAAAATTACATAAGCCAGTATTCACATGTACCATCATCCTCCACCAGGTCACCAATTGAGACCTGTTGGGGCCCAAGAACCCTCCATTTCGGAGACCTGTTGGATGATGCTGGGACATATCCTTAGCTATGTTTTTCAAGTGTGACTGAGGCCTGAAGGAGTGATAACGTTAGTTATCGAATCATCGAATCATGACCTTTTCGTTAACAAGACGTTTTGGCAGAAAGTTCACGCTGTAAAAATGGGCTCAGACAACTACCTTCAGGACCCCATGGAAAAAGATCCACATCACACGTCTTTGACAACCTGTTCTGCTTGAAGTAGGTGATGAGCCATTTTCCATCCTTCCAGAGCCAACTTCAACATCACTCACTTGCGTTCCCTCATTCTCACTCCTTCCCATTGCAGGTCCGAGTACACCAGCTATCAGATGAACGGTTTGCAGCCGGGCAGCACCTTTCGCTTCCGGCTCCGGGCGGTGAACGCCTACGGCGCCTCCAGCTGGAGCACCGAGAGCGCCTTGCTCGTCTGCGAGCCGCCCACGCCGCCGCAGGGCCTCACGGCGCAGTGGCCGCACGAGCGCGCGGTGCGGCCGCGGCTGTGTTGGACCGCGCCGGAGGATGTGGGAGGCGTGTGGGGACGTGGGTGTGGGGGGTGCTGGAGGACGGGGGAGACGAACATGGGGCTTCCTGTTGGATGCGGGAACTGGAGCTTTAGAGGGCTTCCTGTTGCATGGGATGCGATCCGATGCGCGCCACTCAACTCATGTTGCTCTTCGGATGCATGGCGGATCGATTTGGGGGGTCATTCCTCATAGGGTGATTTCTGCCATCTGATCGCCATGGCATGCGAGACGTACGGAAGCCCCACACGTACGGCATGGGTCGGGGGGGCTGGGCTCAAGGGGTCACACTGGATTCTGTGGAGGTGATGATAGGTGATGTGAATTGGGTCTCTTGCAGGGGATCGATTTGGGGAATTGGTTTGTTTTTGTTTTTTTCCCGGTGTGTTTTCTTCTTTTCACGATATATCTTGTCGTGAGTTGTTGGCATGACAGATCCTGCGATTCATTCGAACATCTTTCCCTTACAATCCATATCCCTTTAAGATCCTTTAAGCCAAAAATATAAACAACACCAAAAAACAGTTTGCAAAAAAGGGATCGAAGAAGCGGAAGCGAGCCTTCAGTGACTCGAGTGTTGAGCAAAAAAGGGGGAATGAGGGAATGAATGAATCGAACTGATCTTGACACGTATTCTAGGTTTTTCCTCTCTGAGTGAATTGTTTGGGTCTTTTTGTTTGTTTAATGCTGGTTCCTTAGCCTTAAGCAAATCCAAGAGTTCAATCATGTTCAATCGATTTTGGAGCGCATCCGGAACCAGGTGGAGCGCACGACAGCCTGCAGATCACCAGCTATCGGATTTGGATGCACTACGAGGGTTTTCAGCGTTTGGTTGCGGAGGTGCCTGGAGACAAGACCTGCTATGAGGCAGCAGGGATGCTGAAGCGGACCAGTTCGGTTGGTGGCGGTGGTGGTGGTGGTGGTGGTGGTGGTATGCTGAACAGATGCACTCCAGTACACTCAGAAAGCACCACAAATGCTGAAAATGGCAATGAAGGCCTTTTGTTCCTGTAACCATGGACCAGATGTGCAGAAGTTGCATGTGACTCCCTTTGCTGCATGCAACTTTGACTATGCTGGTAGATGGTGTGCAAACTAGATGGTGTACATTCAATACTCTGCCCTTTTAAGGCCTGATTCTACCAGGTTTGCAGGTGGTCGATGTTGGTGCTTTCGGTGCAAAACAGCAGTTGCGGGGAGATGTGGAGAAACAGTATGGTAACCGCCAGACTCCAGACTCGCGGAACAGTGAAACGTCATCCAAATAGATCTGGGTTGTCAAGCCAAGCAATGGCAACTCCAGGAGAATAATGAATGATTCTTGTAAGGGTGTTACCACCCTGCTTCTTGCTAAATATCGCATCTGATCCCGAACAAGGCCTGCAACCAGGCCCCATCATCCACTGACCCCTATAGCATGGGCGGAACATCGTCCATGCACCCGAAGTCGTCGTGCCTTCAGTTGGATTTGCCGGAGCTCTACAGCACGACGCTGGCCTTCTCCGTGAACGGCATCAACCAGGCCTTCTCTGTGGTGTTCTCCTGGTGGCTGCATGCATGGATGCGTTGTGTACTTGAACTCACTTCAAGCCATTCGACAGAAATACTAATTCGATGCATGCACACATTGGCCTCACTGTTTTATACGTACCCGAAAGGACGGAGCGTACCCTCACGGCTCCCCCAACTCAGGACCATTGTCTGCCTGACTTCCTGGGGATTGATACCAAGTGAGTTTTTTTTTCATGTTATGCATGGTATGGCCGCATGCGGGTGAGAGTAACTTCTCGTGATGGATCATCGGATGCAGCACTGTGAGCATCGGTGGGTCGGGAGTACGAAGAAGTCGTCCTGGTGCAACGAACATGTGACGTGGGCCACGGGTGTACGGCTTGAAGATCGAAGTCCTGCAAAGGTGTAGTGTTTTTTGGTTGTTACTGAGAACTTTCCCCACCCGACCTTCAGCAACACCGGTCGTTCTTTCCATGTTTTTTTTCTTGACCCAGGGTCAATGGGGCGGCGCATGATGGAAAAAAAACATCGATCAGAGCGTTTTGGGTATTGGAAAGTAAGGATTCCGACACCATCGACGCCCAGCGGCTCGCTGTGTGGCAGGTGTACGAGGGTCCTCACACCAACACCGTGGAACTCACGACCACAGGAGAGGGAGATCGGGTGGGGCCCATTCGGTGGAGACCGCTCGGTGAAGATCGGTTTGGAGATCGGGTGGAGCCGTTCGGGTGGAGCTCATGGTCCAAGTGACAGCCGTTCGGAGTTTCCGTTCTCCTTTTGAAGCACTGCTTTCCGATGGGCTTCGCGGTGGAATCCGATGGATCTGTCGTCCATGTCAAGTCGTCCATGCCGATGCTGCCCACGTCTCTCCCTTCGGTTTGGGCCCACAAGTTCCGAACCTTCGGTCCCGGTCTGCGCGGGTCGTCCCGGCCGGAAGAGACGGGGCGGAGTCACGGCCGGAGGGGCGGTGGGTGGGTTTGGGGTGCGTCCCATCCGGCGGAGGTGATGGGGGCGGGGCACGCCAACGTCCTCCAATTAGGCAACCCAGAACATGTACATAGAACCTGAGAATTGACCCGTGGAAGACTCTTTCCTCTACAACCCAGTGGTTTGGGGGTTCCATGTTCATTTGCAGGGGAGTAGGCACCCAAGCTCGCCAAAAGTGACTGCTGGGAGACGAGGTGTGCGTTGACCCGAAACTGGTGAAGTGACAGGAGAGACTGAGCCAGTGAGCCGATGAGCTGGCCAGGGAAATGTCTCATTGAAACAATCCCTAGGCATCCAGTCGTACCGAACCTCAGAAGGTACTTGGGCCCTCCAAGCCTGCATAAATAGTCTCCAATCACCTTCTGAGAAGGTACTTGGATCCCTAGGGCCAATGAAACTGGCTGACTCTTGATGACTCTTGTAGCTTGCAAACTCTCGTGCGTTGCTAGTCGATGCTCTTTTTCGTTCTTGCCATCAACCAGTAGGGTGAAGTCGGTCATCGGGAAGCAAGTGGATGTCATGCATTTCTAGAGGTATGTCCTCTTGGAACCGGGTGGAATTTCTATCCAAGAGCCCAACAGAATCACACAGGGATTATCAAAAACTCTTGTTCAAGTTCGTTATATATATATATCCTATGTAGTTCGCATCTTTCCCTGACTCACGTCGCAACTCTTGAACTCTTCAAACTGAGCGGCCAACTCTTTGCAGGACCACCGGGTGACATCGTCTCCTTAGACGCCAATGCCACGGGCACGCTGCTGTCCCTGCAGTGGTCGCCGCCCACCCACCGCGCCGTGCCCTGCGACGCCTCGCTGGCGGAGTGCCGACAGCTGCGGGCGCGCTTCGCGCGGGCGCCCGAGGCCACGGGCTACGAGGCTCGTAGCGCAACGGAACGGAACGAGCGGAGGGCGGAGGGCGGCCGGCGTTGGGACCCAGGTTTGTGACCTGTTTGGGACTGGAAAAGAGGCCGCCTTATCAGCCTGGGTGCTCAACCGCTCCAAGATGCCTCAAGGTACATAAGCCTTTAAGTAAATCTATCTATATATATATATATATGCCATACATGGAGTCTTTGGTAATTGTTTGTTGCGCGTCCAAGGCCAAGGATAAAGAGTGGCAGGATTAGTGTGTATATATCACTTCATTCATGCTGGTATGTGGCCTGTTGATGGACTGATTGTTGGGTAAGTCCTTAGGGGGTAGATAGACGAGACATGACGAAACGTTAAAGGTATCGTTCATTGAAACGGTGGGTGGTGCTGTGGGTGGTGCACCAACGTGAATCATGGGGCGGAAGTTGGTGGAATTGGGTGGGGTGTGGGGATGTGAATTGTCGTTGTAGAAGATGTTTATATTTTGTCGCGTGGTCGCGGTAAAGGGGGAGATGTCGTGATGGGCTGGTGTGAGTGGCATGGAGGCAGACACTCGCGATGTGACGCACAGACATCAAAAATGCCAAGGCCCTTCATGTCGATCCGTAATATGCGTTGTTTTGGCGACATGGTACTCTCCAAAGCTACATAACAGTGTCTCCAATCAACTTCTGAGAAGGTACTTGGATCCCTATAGGGAGTATACTTAGATTGCATTTCCGGATGCTCCACGAGAGATCGAGGGAGATGGTGTGTATATATATGCCTTGTATGCACACCCAACACCCGCCTTCCTCATCTGCACTTCGTCTTCGCGTCTTTGCTGCGCCTCCGATCGGTCTCGGAGACAGGTCTATTGGGACGAAGGCACCGGCGAGGTCCCGGCGAAGCTCTTGGAGACCTCCACGGTCCCGGCGGCCGCTGGGACCGAATTGGAACGGTACGGTGGAACGGTGCCGGGGTTGGTTGGGTCCCGTTGTTTCAGGCAAGTGGCAATGCTGACATGGCGAGATGTAGACTCTTACTGTAGATTCATAAACCTCGCGCACTTGAAGTGAACAAGCTCTTCATATGGGGTGGTTTATTCATCAAGAGTCGTACAGTAGCGGCCTTCAGTCGCATCGATTCTTCTTGTTTAACTCGTTTAGCTTGTGTGCGCTGTTACCATGATGTGAGAGGGTCGCATCGATTGAATCGCAAAGAAAATAGAGTTCCCAGCAAAGCTGATGTGACAGAGGACCGTCACTGTACTACATTATTATAGGGACCTGAATGCCCTTCGTCAGAAGTGTCAGCGCAGAAGTTCTTTCTTCCAAGTCTTGAAGGATCATTTTGGTCGTCCAACTGCAACGCATATGTAAATGCCAACCCCTTCCCACACATACCCAACTCTTTGATCTTCCCAGGGTCCCCTGCCTACTAGTTGCCAGTATGTCCACACTGCACCGATGTTTCTCCACGGTGTGCAGAGACCAGTCCGATGCGTGATTTCACGTGATCTCCCGCCGCCGGACTCGCCAGTCCGATGGAACTCCAAGGAACTTGCTCAGACATGGGCAGGACCTAATGAGCTCATCTTAACCAGACCATCCATGTACCAGCTTCTTCAGTTCGTGACCGAACTTGAAGGTTCCTATTCGTGACCCTACTCGGAGGCGAAAAAGTGACCGAACCAACCAGGTTATCAAAAGGTCACTTTGAAGAACCAGGTATTGAATAGTTATGAATAGTTATATACATGCATGTCCCCGATGTATGACATTCCATACATGGATGGTCTGGGCGAGCTCACTTGGGATCTTGGAAGAACAAAGCGTGAACAATGTGTCAACATCCGTTCAACGGATTTTCTGTTTGAGAGGAGCACCCCTTGACCGAGGTGGATCTTGGGGCATTGTCCTGGTAGGATCGAGTTTCCCAAGATCTCTGGAGGTACATCGATTCCAAGAGCTTCCGCAAACTCTTGTTGCAATTGCTTGAGATGTGCATGTTTGCCCTCGCCAAGAGTGGAGTTGATGGAAAACTGCCACCTGAAAACTCGTCTTTCAACTCCGGTTTCCACCCTGATGATCCGAGCCATCTCCGAGCGACCCATGTAGTCTTCGCCCCGTGTCTAGTCTGGGGCGACCACCCCCCCCCCAGTGATCCCTTTCGAACGGAACGCCGTTCCGCGGTTCCGCGACAGGCGGAGCTGGACCTCTCCAGCTGGGTCACCCACACTCGCAGGCCGTGGGGACTCGGGAGTCGGACGTCGGCTCAAAAAGGGACGTCGCTTGGCCACGGGGAGGTCGAAACCCAGCAACTAAGAAGCCGGAAGTGGAAGAGAGGCTCCGGGAAGACCCATTTTGCTACATGAACTAAAGGAAGTTTTCCACGTAACCATGTTGGTGAGTGGTGGAGTGAGAGTGGTGAAGCGTCCCCCCAAAACTCTGCCCTCCCCGTCTCCCACCTCCCAGGTGCTTCCAGTTCCGCGTCCGCGGCCTCTCCGCCGGCGGCGCCGGCGCCTTCAGCGCGGTGGCGCCGGTGGCGCTGGGCGCAGCGCCGTCCGAGGTCTGGGGGCTCCGGGCGATGCTGGCGCCGCGCGCGGGCGTGGTGCAGATCATGTGGCAGGTGTGGAGAGCGGGTGGGTGAAAAGTGAGTGGAAGGGATAAGAGATCGATCTATAGGAAAATTTTTTGTGGAAGATGAAGATCTTCCACGGGTCTTTTGCTGGGACCTTTCTTGAGCACCCTTGGTGACTGGCAATGGGCGTTTCCCGGGGCCAACAGCGCCAACAGCGCCGTTGCGGTGACGTGACCGGTGCGTTGAATCGGGTCCGGATCCTGTCGTAGTCAGACTTGTCGTGGTCAAATGGACAGGATCCAATGGACATAGAGTCTATAGACTTATAGTGACTAGTGTATACACTAGACATAGGGTCATAGGGTACACTAGTCGGTAGTCTAGAGACCAATAGGATCCAATAGGGGATAGTGTATAGTATACAGACTATAGACTATATGGGGTAGTGTATGGGATAGTGTACAACAGACTTGTATTACAGCAGTGTATTGAACATTGTTAGAATAGGGGACCGAGGCCCTGGCTGGATCTCCCGAACCGCACCCAGAAGATTCCTTGCCTTGGAGGTCTCCCTATTTCGTCCTACAAAGCCTAATGGTCGTGCTCACATGTGTTCACAGGTTTGTGAGAGGAGGGTCCTGATGGCTTGCCGACATTGGGTACAAACAACCAATGACAACCCCCATGTCCTGAGACTTGGACATCGTGAAACTCGTCATGTCGGGGCGGACTTTGTGGGATTTGCCGGAAATTAGGGAACTAGAGATTGATGGGAGGTTTCTCAATCTCGATGGGGGAGGTACAGGCTTTTGCAGACCGGTTGTAGGGTTCACTGTCAAAAGTAGCTGGTTGTGACAGGAACGCAGCCCTTATGAGGCATTCCTTAGGCACCTCACCAGTGAGGATCTCCTTCCCCTTCGACCTTTTTCGTTGATGTTCCTTCTCACCTCCTTCGTCTTTTCGTGGACTTGGTAGGAGATCCAGCCTTATGGCTGTGTTTATTGGTACGAGCTGCAGCTCTTGAATGTGGTCTATGGCAACTTCTCCTTGATCACCAGCGGAGTGGCGACGGTGGAGTTGGAAGAGCTCCACAGCTTGGATTTGCCCCTTGGCCTCCAACAATGACCGGATATAAAGGTTCCAGACCGTTCCAGCAGAACAAAATCCCTAGTCAACCGACATCCCGGGAGAGATCGATTTGGGTCACACTCCCTGGAACTAACATGGAAGTGGAAAATGCCCCCCTTGGAAGACCATTTTCCACTACAAACAGGTGGTTTTCCACTTCCATGTTCAAGGGAGAGTAGGTTTCTTGTCATGACTCATCAATGACTATCATGCTCACGTCATCCTGACTTCATCCACCTCAGAATCCCGTCATCTTGGGCCTATGTCCCAGCTGCAGCTTTTCATCCACCCACGCTGAAACAGCTTCTATCTCTACAGAAGAGGATCCGTTGACCATCTTTGCTGCCCAGATTGGGTGGCACTTCTTCGGTTTTGCACTGAACTCACCCGAACTGCCATCCCTTTCCCGCCTCCATGATGGACTCGTACACTGCTCTGTGTTCGAACGAAGGATCTCGGCCCCCACCTCCGAGGTATCACTTCTCCGTCCGCGCCTGCGACGTGGGCGCCTGCGGCGCCTGGTCCGCTCCGCTGGCCCTGGTGCCCGCGCGGCCGGACTCGCTCTTCGGCCCCACAGCGGTCACGGCGGCCGGCTACGTGGAGGGGCTGCTGACGGTGCCTCGGTGGTGGATGACGGTGGAAACCAAGGGATGACAGAGGGCGAAAGGAGAGGGTGCTTTGGTGGAAGAGTTCGGTGTGAGGATGAAGTAAGAAGCGCAGATTTTGGAAAGTCTTGGGACCCACAAGCAGTCACAAGCATTGTCCTTTTCCTTTGACGGTCATCTCAAAGAGCCAAGATCCAGAGTGGAAAGGGTCCCTTTATCAGGACGAAGGATCCCTGTGAGGACCGACCAGTGGGCACGACCTGTGAGGGTGCCGAAATTCCTCGTCGTTGATCAGCCGATACACTGCCCATGTCCATTGGCCACAAGACCAGTCGTAGGACAATGTCTGTCAACTGGTGAAACCCGGCCACCTCTTGTTTTTTCCCAGAAGGGCACATGCATATGATAAGCATAATAATAATAATAATAACTAATTGGGCTTCCTCATTTGCTCACTGGCTCGTCCGACTCACGACTCCAGGCTCGTTGGTCGCTTTCCCCTCGGCCCAGGTGTCTTGGGTTGCAGAGGCCTGGGACCGGGAGCCCTTCCTCGACACCTTCCAGGCGCCGGGACCTTCCTGGACCGATGTGGGCCGAAGACATCGTGAGGTGATGTCTGTGTGAGCATGGGGAATGGATTCATATGGAGAGTGTGGAGTTGGGATCTTCTAAGATACCCATGTCCATATGTGTCTTTCAGCTGTACATGGTTGTTGTTGCACATTTTTTCATGGCCAAACCGCCACCAGCAGGCGGCATGTTCATGGTCGGCACACGACCACAAGCACCACGAAGACCGCCTCTCGCCTCGCCCCTCCGCAGGTGCTGGCAGCGTCCGAGGAGGAGGGGCCCTACGTGGACGTGGGCGTGGTGCCTGCGAGCGCAGCTCCACAGCTGAGCTTCGCGTGCAACGAGCCTCGGCGCCGACGGTGACGGGAGCCGGGTGAGCTACGTCTCCGTGTTAGGCAGCGTGCGGAGTGTGATGGGGTGTGTAGGGTGTGGTTGGATTGATATATCTAGGCGTACAGGATTGTTGTTGTGGATTTTTGTTGGTTACAGCTGGACCACTTAACCATTTGGTGAGGCGTTTGATGGCGATGGCTTTTCGGTTCACCCGTACGTGGCGAGGGCTTTTAAGAACATCAGCCACTGGGGCACATCATCCCGGAGTAGAGTCCATCTGTTTGGATTCCCAATGTGCCGTCTGACGGTGGGAATTCGATCCACCTCTTTGGTTCAGTTGTTTGGGTGAAGGTGGTAGTGATCCGGAAGGTGTGCTTCGAAACCTTATGTGCTTCGAAACCTCCAGGCTCCAGGCTGACTTTTATTTATACGCAATGACTTGCAGAAGCGACCAAAAGAGATTTCGAGAGGACTGTCTGCAGGGGTATGTCTTACTTCGGGTGAAACTATGCAGCCGGGTTATATATATATATAAAGTCGCTCATGACATTGAGACAAACCATCGCGAACCCTCCCGAAACACCGTAAAACTACCACTTTGCAGCTCGTCCGATGTCCAACCTCCTATGTCCAACTCCGCCGAGCTCCGAAAACGGAAGAACGAAAACGAACACCATCGGCGCTCCACCCACCTTCCATGGCAGCGCGCTCCACCAAACTGACTCCTCCGCCGCTCCGTCGCTCGAATCCTGAGGAGACGAACATGAGCAACGCGCTGTGGCCCAGCGCCATTTACGTGAAGGTCATCGCCCGCGTCGCCACGCAGTGGAGCACCGAAGCGATGGCCGCCGAGTCGGCCGCGCGGATCGGGAGCGTGCCGCGAGCGAAGGAACTCTTGGGGGGGGCGAGGGGCGAGGGGCCAAGGGTTTGGAAGACGATTCCAGGTGAAAACCATCAGTTTCGATCAGGTGAAATCAAATGCAAGGTGATGACTAAATTGAAGGTATATCCGCCCAACTTGCAAATCAGATGTGCATTATAAAATGTGATGCAATTGGTACAGCGTTTAGCGGACCAGGTCAGGGGATGTTCCGACCTCGACCCCGCAAGAGTGAGCCTTGCCCACCTGCCTTTCGTGCAAGTGGCAACATGGGATTCCACGAAGTTTGTGGCATGCACGGCCAAACAAACTCCTGGTGTTTAAGAGTGTTCTTGGTCGTTTTCTTCCAGACCTTTGATGCTTCAGCAACGCACAGATGTCAAGCTGAACAATTCGAAAAAAAAACAACAAACCGCGTTGTCCCCAACCAGGGGACCGTCTCACCCCGCTGAAGGCCCCAGCGCGTCTCTTCTGCTCCGCCGCGCCCATCGCGCCGCCCACCGCGCCGGTGCTGAGCCACACCGCGCGGCCGAGCGCGGGAGAGTCGCGGCTGAGCGTGCAGGGCAGCTTTGACGTGACGGTGGAGCTGTCCTTGGCGGGGCAGGCACCGGGTCTTGAGCGGAGGAAATGAGACTGGACCGATCCACCTGTGGAATCAGGAGTGTGATGGAAAATTGCATGATGATTTTGGGAAATGATCGGAAAAGAATGATGGAAAATGGGAGAACCTGGTGAACGAGGGGAAAGCTGCGGAGTGGTTGTGAATGAACCCCAACCCCATTGCCTGAGAAGCTACAGACCGGTGACGAATTGAAGCCGTGGATAGATTGGTTGTGGAGTGACAAAGTGGTTGCAATCCCACCACTGAGTGAATGAAAAGGCTCACATTGATGGGTTGCAGACAGACCAACAGAGGTTGAATTCACCCTGTAGACTATCCCATAGGTGACGGGTCCTAGTTCAGGTCACTTGACCTCTGTTGGAGTCTTCCTTCGCCAGGCGCCGGATGTCGTGGCACTCCACAGTGGTTGGCAGGTGCAGCTGGTGTGGAAAGCAACCAACGAAGTGGAGGAAGTGATCATCAGCGATCCCAACGCGACCGGGCGAAAGAGAACATGAGTGTGGGTCAAAAACTGCACCCCTAATCCGTGCTAGATTGATGTAGATTGACCTACCTGGTAGTCTATTCTGTTCACACGCTGACAAGTCTCAAAGAGTGAGACGTCTTGTCCACGACACTCTGATCGTCGAACATGGCTGGTAGTCTATTCTGTTCATTTTTGGTAGTCAACCAGGGTCCCCTTGTTTTGACCCGCTGCCATGTGAGTTCGAATGCGTTGGGCATGCTTTGGGTCAGGTCGACCTGATGGCTTTCATTTGGCTGACTGTTGGTGGTTTATAGATATTTATAGGGTGCCGGTTCATTTTTCAAGCACTGAACCCCTCCACCGACCCGCGGCCCTGGACGAGGTGCGGAGCTACGTCTTCGAGGCGCTGCCGCCCTCGACGGACCTGGAGCTCGCCTACGGCGTCCGCTCGCTCGTGGGCGCCGGGCCCTGGTCGCCCGCGGCGGCGCTGCACGTGGGGCTGGCGCCCCTGGCGCCGACGGTGCAGGCGGGAGAAGCGGAGAGACACCGGAAGGGAGGAGGACGGGAGGTAGAGAAGGAGGCAAGGTTGGATGTTGAAAGCCGACAGATTGAACTGGCTTGAGACTGGTGGTTGGTCTTTGGTGCTTTGTGATGCTTTATGCTTTTCCTGTTACATTTAATTTACGTCACATTCCTTTTAATTTGGTAAGACATGGTAAGACTGGGTTCTAACATGTTCACCGGCCGACGAGACGACTAGGGTTTTGGCATGCGGTTTCTCTTTGCAGGTCGATGCCAGCGATGATGAGACCATCAGCTTGTCATGGACGTGGCAGCCCAGTGTCGATGAGGACCTCAAGCTGTGAAGCTCCTAGCTCCAACCATGAACACATCCTCCCTGCACACCTCCTTCTCAGGTCATGTTGTATATCTGAACCCATCAGTATTGTGGGTGCTTTGGGATCTCAGTTTCATGTGCACTACCTCGGCTGAGAATGACCACACAGATTCAAGAACGTGTTCATGGAGACCCATGGGGACCCCTTGGATTCTCAGACGACAGAACAGATATCCTGGTTTTGCTCGTCAAGGTGATCTCATATGTTCCTTAATGGCTAAATCATGCTCAAGGCGCTTCTGGTGACAATGTTTGGTCTTTGCCAAGTTCCTGAAGCAAATCCAACAAATGGCGAGAATTGGTCGCTTGGGCTTTGAAGCACTCCGTACTAAGATTTGGCCAGCCTGATTGGCTAAGGGTGGCCGTCAACCAGGCAGGCCTCGGTTCGTCGTACCAAGCCACGAATCGACCGGAACCCATGGCTAACTACCACCCTGGGAGTCAAAGACTATAAAAATAATGGTCTTTAGGTGACCCGAGTTCAGGACTTTCCTTTACTTCAGTCGGTTCAAGTATAGTCTTTGGACTTCTAGGGTACCAGTCTGGCCTGGCCTAAAGGTGAGTGGTCCCGCTTCCGCCCCGCGCGGAGAGCGCCGCCGCGAGGACCGGCTCTTGGGCTTCAACATCTACGTCGACTGGATCGACGGGCACTTCTCCACCTGGGATCCCCACGCACCGAGCTTCAGCACCACGGCCTCGGAGTACGTGGTGAACTGCACCCAGCCGGAGGTGGGATGGACACTGCTGGGGTGGGTAGGTTGCTGGAGAGATGTTGGAGGAATGTGGTTCTTTTTCGGCTGGTCACCTTCTTTCAATGCTAGCTTCACCAGTGTGGCTCCTGTGGTTGGAAGTGATTAGATGATGTTCTTTTGGTTCAAGTGTGGCCGTTGGTTTCCTTTAAGGTCTTCAAATGATAAACATGCACAAGGCCCACACCCACCACTGTCACTACAAACTTGCACGCCTAAAATATCCTATCAAATCTTACAGGCTTTGACACACACACACACCACTTACAATTCAAGTCTTAGACTCACCAGCTCGTCTTAGACTGCCACTTACCCTGTTGCGTCCGTCTACCAGCTGGACCCTCGTTCCCACCTCTTCACCCCCACCAGGTCTTCGGCGGCCTCAGCCGCTCGCGGCAGCGCCTGTGGTTCCGCGTGGCCGCCGTGAGCGCCGCCGGCGTCGGCGCCGCCAACGACCCGCCTGCGCTGCGGATCTGCGGCGCGGCGCCGGGCGCGCCGGTGGCGCCAACGGTGCAGGAGGTTGGGGTGGAACGAGAGAGGGGGAGAGTGTGTAGAAGGGTTGGGGATGGAGGTACTGGACTATAGGGTGTATCATGTTGTATCTATATAGTGTAGTTCTGTATTAATAGGTATATCATATCCTTAGAAGTGGTTGATCTGGTTTTGTAGTGTAAAACCCTCAGTGAAACAATGGTTGTTCGGCAAAGGCTATTAAACTAATGGTGGTTCGACTTCTAGGGATATCTTAGGATGTATCTATAGGATGTGGATGTAGGGAGGCCGGTCGCTAAGCATGTAGGTCCGTAAGTCTAGCAGTGGCTCATCGGAGTTGGTGCGAGAGTGCAGTTCCAAGCCACTTGCAAGGAGATAAACGCAGCAGGAAATGTTGCTGAGACATTCGAAGCTTGCTGTTATGGTGCATGAAACAATGTGAACTGTGTGTGTGTTTCTTTTACGTTGTGACCTGATATAACTACCACAAGTCAAGTGCCTCACATGTTAGTATATTATATACATATATACAACAGTACTATATAGTCAATTACGGATGTGGTGTCCTCACAACATGATTAGCGTTCTTGTCCCATCTCACACCACGACTCACCGTACCTAGAACCACTTCTGGGGCAGACACTTCTGCTTATATCATATGGGGGTCTCTTTCGGGCGACTTGGTCCGTGCTTCGGCGTAGACCCACCACGACCCAGGTGGGCGCCTCCTGGGTGCTGCTCGCCTGGACGATCCCCGACCTGCACGGCGCGCCGCTGCTGGCGGCGAAGGTCACGGTCTTCTCCTCGGTGACGGTCTTCTCGTCGCGCGGCGCGGCGGATGGGCTGGCGGAGAGGGAGATCTGGCTGGAGAAGCCAGGACGGGACGGGAGAAAGAACCGGAAGGGAAGTGGAGGGGGATAGGGATAGGGAGTTGGGAGGTGAGGGGGGTGTTGGGACTGGGGAACAGATGGAAAAGGGTGGAATAGGTATGTGAAGGACATGTGAGTTTGGGGTGCGAATTCTTTTGGGACGAAACTTGATGAATCCCAGCTGTGCGGGATAAATGACTGCTTGGCCAGCGCAGGAAGCTCTAGTATATATGGGTCGACAGAAGCAACGTTCAACACATGAAACCAACCACGCTTGCAACTCTGACCTATATTCCAAGGGGCCATGTTCCACGTCCATGATGATACCAGGGAGCATCTTCGGAATTATCAGTCTTTGGACGGTCTGGGTCCGGTGGCTCGATGGTTTGACGTAGGAAGCCCTTTTCTGACCGATCGACCGATCTGCTTGGGGGATCCCACACGATTCCAAACCAAAAAGGAACCGGGTCGGGATCGCAGGAAGCACATCCATCTCCGGATCGGTGTTGTCTCATGTTGTCTCCGGACCGGTCTTTGGGATGCTGTTTGACGTCCCAAGTGTGGGCCAAACTCTGAGTCCCTGCATGCCCCCCCCAAAGCCTTGCCCACACACCACCTGGGACTTCTCTTGAGCACGCTGGCCTCCGGCGGAGCCGCGTGCGCCGGCGGAGCCGCAGGATCACTGCTGAACATCAGCTCCAACCTCTCGCAGCCCCTGGAACTGGCCATCTCGGCCATCTCGGAGCTCGGCGAAGGTGCGAGACGGCTGCCACGGTAACGGGCTGGGATAGAGGCGAGAGCGTCGGATCAAAAATGATCCTTGCATGCGCAAGGCAGCAACATGTAAGACTAAGAAGGTTGCAGACGGGGATTGTTTTTGAATTATCATGTTGACACTTCAGACTTCGAGATCCTGGCAGGTATGCCACAGCACAGGTGTCCATTGTTTCTTTTTCCTGATGAGTTCCTGGTCATGTCCCTGCATTTGTGTATGTGTGCCCGTTTTCTCCTTTTCCCGTTTCGCTTCTTGCTTTGTGCCTTCCTTTCCTTTTCCCTTTCTTTTGTGGATACTATCCGACTATCGGGGCATTCAAAGTGTGCACTCTCATCCACTTCCTTGGGTGTTTCCCCTGGGAAACTTCCTGAAGACAGAAGGTCCATGAATATATGGGTTTCACGGGTTGCATTCAAATTCAAAGTGAGCGTGTTCAGCTTCCTTTTCTCATTGGAACATGGCAAGTGAAGTGCACATTTGGAATGCAAAGACAATACTTATATGGTCAGTGACTCCCGTGAAGAGTGGGACCTGTGAAAGACTCGGACTTCCTCAACATGTCATCAGTGACATGCAAGGCATTCAACTACCCTCATACAAACACACCCTTCTAAGCACCAGTTGTTCCACGGTCCACCCACCACGCACGAACAACGCTCTTCGTGATCTTTCCTGCCGACGTCGTGCTGCTTCGCTCCGCTTCGAGGCCCCCTGTCGCCCTGGCTGAGCTTGGCGAAGCTGGCGCTGCCGCCGCTGCCGCCACGGCCCAGCATCCAATCGTCCAGCGACACGCAGATCGTGGTGGAGTGGTCCTTGGACCGAGGCAAAGAACGAGGTGCCTTGAGCTGAACCTTGGCCCACTAGATCCGGTCACTAACCCTTCTGAATTCATGTATTTGTTGAGGTTTTTTTGGTTCGTTTTTTGTGTTTTGGAATGGCTTGCTTCCGGTTTGTTGTAGCCTGGAAAGAGTTCGACCTACCCACTTCGGTCCGGCCGGTGGTTTTTTTGGAGGTTTGCTGGGGGGTGCAGTGGATGAGAGTGGATGTGCATAGTGTGAGTGAGTTCGGGGATGATGTTTGTGGAGTGGTTCGGTCCGGTCAACCACAACTACGCCCATGTCTGAGTCTGAAAGGCCTGCTTAAAAGAAAGACGCTATAATTGAATATCCCAAACCCTCTCACAACGCGTCACAACGCTCTCTACGGGCGTGTGTGACACACTCGAAAATCGAAGGATCGAGGGTGGGAAGGGAATCTGCTAGCAGACCACTGGACTCCACTGGATGTCGAGGGGGGGAATGTGCTTCGCGGGGGGAAAAGTGGATCACCACTGATAGACCTATAGCCCTTTCACCTTTTTGTGACAATTCTTGGTGCACGGACGTGAACGGAAACCGGGGCGTGTGCCAAGCCCTCCGCTTCGTTGGAACCGCAGAGCCAAGCATCTTGCACTAAAGAAGGTTAGTAGCAGGTGTTATATAGCAGGTAGCATCTTTAGCTCATCCAGTGCGGTCACCCACGATGTTCTTTGCCCATCCTTTAGCGGTCAACCCACAGGGTCCACGGGTGGATGGACTCTGGTGCACCTGGCAGCTCGAGAGAGGTGCTTACCACACGGGCTACTACGTCTACGTCTCGGTGGACGGCACCACCTGGCCGGACGAGGACACCGGCTACATCGCCACGTGGCAGGACGAGTTCACCACGCAGTACACCATGGATGCTTGGGCCGCGTGATCTGTTTGAAAAGGAGTCGCTAGATTTAGTGGATGGACTTGGAAGGCAAAACCAACCAGAAAAAGGGACGGAAAGTTATGAAAGCTGTTGTGGTTTGGAATATTCTGAGAAACTCTTCAGGGACACATTTGTGTGAATCTGGAGTGGTGATTGGAAGTTTCTCTTGCTGTGTTTCATAACCTGATTGGCTTTATAATGACCAAACGAGGAAAAGGACAGCTTCGTAGGCGAACAGGTATATATTAATTTTGACAAGATGTGATGAAACGTAAGCAGTTGACACCCAGCCGTGCATCACTACACACTCACGTACGGTCGACTTTAGGCCCAAGTGAAAAAGAAGTTGCGCGCTTCGCAAATTTTGTTCTTGTTGATGCTGATGTCAGATGTGTTGTTTGTATAGATTTCGGAAGAGCTGCTACTGGAATGGTTACAACTGCATACTACCTCTCGCGCCAGATCACACGTGTGAGACGCGTCTGGCATATGCATGACGCACAGGTCATGACATAGTCAAAGATGACCCCATGAAAGCGACCTGCCCCACGCGCAAGCAAATTTGCCACCAGTTGGTGCCCTTCAGGTGCCACAAACGGAATGGCAGAATCTATACAGCCCTGGGGTACGCCGGCAACTTCGGGGACGTGTGGAATTTAAAGTTCCAGGAAAGGCGTCAACAGTTGGAAGTTTCGACAGAGTTAGCATCACTTTGCGTATTGAATTGCACACATCTCGAAAGGTGTGGAGATTCTCATCATCGATCAGTCTGTACCCCGCAGCAAGTTTACAAAATGAAAATGACAACTTCTCATCTTGCTTCCACCTCGAATTCTGGAGGAAAGTACAAATGGTAACACAATTGGGCTGACCGCCAAGCCATGTCTTCGGACATTCGAGGTCCAAGGGTATTTTGGCCTTCCATTTGAAATGACCAACACCATGCAGTATTTTTACTGTAGGCGCTCATTGTGGAGGAAGGTTCATCACCCATGGGACACGAACGGCAATCGCTTCAACATCTCAGGACGAGTATGATCCAGAAGTGATTGAAGTGCCACCTCCATCAGTTGCCACCAAACAGTTGGTTGACGAAATCAGCTCACCAAAGAGTTAGAAGGAGAGGACGTGCCCATGCATGAGGTCGTTGATGAAGGTGCAGTGAGGGCAGTGAGAGGATCAGAGAAAGATCCCTGGCGAAAACTGATGTCGAAGTGAAGGGTGTGAAGATGGAGGAAGACGACATCGATGAGGAAATGAGCCCAGAAGAAGAATATCACTGTGGGAAACCAGGTAAACACCATCCTCGGCCCAGTCAAGAAGCTGTCGCAGCCAGTACCACGATCAATGTGATTGACGCGAAGATGAGGACCAGGAGGACGAGGATGATGACTACGATGCTACAGTAGTGCTCAACGCCAAGGATGGAGAGGTGGAGAGAGAGGAGTCTGACTGGGACGATCCGAGCGCGGCAAAGTACATGAGAAGGACCCAGACCAATCTTTGGAGAACATGCGCAACTGGTAGCTTGCACTCAAAGTTCGTCCGCGCATTTGCTGGAGTCAAGGATGATGGTGACTACAAGGACTTCACCAAGGAGGGCTTCAGGAGGGCACAAAGAAGGGGCGATACTGTTGAGGAGACATGGTTGAAAGTCAGAGGAGAGGAACTGTTCAATGCCCTGACGATGCAGGTGTGTGCGAGGCATCGAGTTGCATTCGACGCCCACTTCAAGCGACTCCACTAAGGCTACAGAGATCGCCCAGAAGGAGTACAACAAGCATGTCATGCCGAAGCCAATGCAATTCGTAAAGTTTTATAATAGTGAGAAAAGCTATCAGAGCTGCTTGAAAGGGCTATCGCAAGTGTCACACGAGCAATCTCAACAGCTTCTCGCCAAAGAAGAGTTTGGGAAAGTTTCATGTGAGAAAGACGCCTGAATCAAGACCAAGAAACCACAAGCTCATCAACCACCTGTACCATCCCCCACCCAGTCAACATGGGGAAGGTCGAGGATCTGCAGCGTCATCTTCATCAGCAGCACCACCTCAAGCTGAACCATGGCAAAGGGAAAGGTTGCTACAATCGGTATCATGAAGAAAATCAAGAATATCAACCGCCCGAACGACCTTGAGGAGGAAATGGAGATTATGGATGGCCCTTGAGGAGGAGATGGAGATTATGGATGGCCCGAAAGGTGGGACTATCAGCGAGGATTGATTTCCCGCAACGACAAATAAATCATGGCGCCGTCAGTGATTCTGTAGATCACCCTCTTTTTTTGAAGTGTAAGACTTGACCGTCCTTCGTGAGAAGTTGAGATCGAGCGTGTTGTGAGTTGGGAGTTGGAACACTCCATCAGTCCAGGGGTATGTCCCACATCCCCGATGGGCGTGATGAGCGGCTCACTGTCGTAAGTATAGATCTGTGCTCCCCAATAGTGTCTCTGGCTCGAACAAAAGAGACAGGGGGTGTAGCGCAGGAAGCATATCAGCGTGCAGACATGTACAGGTCGAGTTCACTAAACGCTCCCTGTGGCTCAAGGATGTAGGAATCTCCCGTAAAACATGGTAAAGTTGCTAAGGGGTTGCAAAGTGGACTGCAAATAGAGACCCTTTTGATGTTTGCTAGGGATGATGTGGTTTTTTGCCAAGCCAAGATTGAAGAGGTATGCAGTATGCATTAGGAAAGTCAGAATGCATGAAGGTTAAACGATGGTAAAGCGGTGAAAGGGTTGCAAAAGGGATCCAATTTGGGACCGTTTTCATGTTTGGTACGGATGTCGTTGCCCTTTGGTTATAAGCTTTGACGAGGTACGTGTATGAGGAAAGGCATAATGTATGAAGGGTTGAGTATGGTAAAATTGTTAAGGGCTGCAAATTTTTCAATGGACCCAAATTAGGGACCGTTTTCATGTTTGGTAGGGCCACTCAACCATTGGGCGGATGCTGCATACCTCGTCAAAGTTTCTGGTCAAAAGGCAACGATATCCTTCCCAAACATGAAAACGGTCCCTAATTTGGGTCCATGTTCCGCTTTCACCGCTTTACCATACTTTACCCTTTATGCCTTTTCTCTTTCCTCATACATACCTCCCCTTCCTCAGGTGACTCAAATTTTGGTGCCCAAGCCTGGCGCAGGTGCGCCCCATTGGCATTTGAAGTTTGGCCATGGCAAACAGGCGGGTCTGGGCTGTTCGTGCTGTTCCCCTCCTTGGGAACCTGAGCCAGAGCAGGGTTTCATGCACAGGCACTTTCACGCTTATCCCCTGGAGTCGTTGTTGAGATGTTCATGCGGGAAGGATTGAACATCGAATTCTAGGCAGCTTAGCCTGGTGATGTTTCACTGGAAGACATTGGCTTGCTGAACTGCGCCCTTAATCTCCAATTTTCGAGCTTGAAGAGGTGGGTTGTGACAAGTCTGCCTTGCAATCAGGTTACCCCCCCATCCAGCACCCATCCACAAACATACCAAGCTTCGGCCTGCCTTCCCCTGAATGCCCAATCCGTGGGGGTTTCGCTTTCCACAGTGAGTCGCTACAGTCCTCGAGGCAGTTCAGGGAGACTATGATTTCCGCACAGTAGCCTGGCAAGACGAGGCCGGGGGCCGCGGCCTGAATGGACAACATGATTTTGGTCGGGCGGGTAGTGTGGAGAAGGTTTGAGAGTCCGACAAGACATGCTGGTGAACAGGTGAGTGCTGATATGTGCTGATGATGAAAGCACGCAGCAACTGTTTGCGTTCTCCGCTTGGATGTTCCTGCGATACACGCCGAGAGATGTCGGTTCGTTGGAGCATGTTGGAGCCCAAAAGTGAGATTGAAGACGCGTTGGCTGGGAATTCCCACAAGGGGGGGCGACGTGAACGCGAAGCCGGCTCCCGGCGGGCGTTCAGCCTAAGAGGTTACACACGTCAGGGCAAAGGTGGTAAACTGTAAATCATTGTAAATCGGTAAATTTGGTAAATTTAGCGTTTTTACCCTTTTACTGCGTGCTGTCGTGTCCCAGGGTGCATCAAAAACAGCAAAGGCTGGCTCACATGCTGTTCGTTTCACATCGGCGCGTAGATTCGCAAAAATGCTAACAAAGCACCAAAATCGACTTGATTCAGGGCCTGCGCGTTGTCAAGCCAAGCCTAAAGCTTGATGAAGTTTGCGCACCTTCTCACCTTCTCGAAGAGAAGATGCAGGTTTTAGATCTTACCGTAACATATCTTAACTTAACCAAAGACGGGCAGACTCTTGCTTTGAACAGCTTTCGCTCTAGGGTGGACGACTCAAGATTGGCTCGCATGGCTTTTTTCCCTATGTCATGTGAGACTTTTCTCACTCCATGAGTTTGGCTGACCTTCGGAAAATCGCTAACTTTCGTAAAATTACCGTCTTTTTCAGTTTTACTGGTTTTCCCGTTTCTCTGTTTTACTCCTCGCTTCTGTCACCTGCAGATTTTCGCATTTTACCGTTTTACCCCACGCTTGTGTGCGCTCGACATTTTGCCATTTTACTGTTTTGCCGTTTTACCGGGGGCCTCTGCAACGGGAACTCCGTAACCAGAAGACACACCGCGATCCAGCACAGCGTGACCAAGGCATGTTTTTTACCCCGAACGTAGTGGTGTGTAGTGGTGGATTCCGACTTCCAGGTGGGGCAAAACCATGAGTCCAAAACGGTCAACGGTCAAGGTCTGGTGCATCATAATCCAGGTGGAAGCTTCAGGGTCCAATCTTCTTCCGTTACGGGGCCCCATGGCGACGACCTCTGCGACCTTTTGGCCAGTCAAGGACGCCGAGGGGATGATTTGACGCAAAGATCTAGTGTTGGTTCACGGCCCCGACTATTTGACAGTCGATGCGTTGGTTCAATGTCGTGCACAGAATGTTGGATTGCCTAATAACACCTATCTCCGCCAGCCTGTGCTCGGGAAAATCACACCTCAAAGTGGAAGGTTAACTACTCACCAGGGGAGGGTAACAATAGGGTAACATAT